GTGTGCTGTAACTTTGTCTCTAAGGCATCCTCCCTTGTAACTATTTTTTCATCCTTCCACTAGAAAGTTGTAATCTTTGTTCCAGATGATCATTTCAAGTAGAGTTCTGTAGCCCGGTCAGTTATCAGTTTAAAAAGTGACCCTTTGTGGTTTCGTTGCTGCCTGCTACATATACCCAGTTCACCTTTCCTTTCTGCCTTGCTGTGTAAGTCTTCAGGGCCTGGTCTTCTTTGTAAATCCAGCCTCTTTAGCACAATTACTTCTCTCTCTTTCTCTCTCTCTCTCTCTCTCTGGAGTCCTAAGGTCATTCCTGCAACTGCTCCGGAAGCGTAAGCCAGCTTAGAGGGGCAAGAGCCGGCCTTGTTTATTGGCTCTCTTAGAGGAGGAAGCTTCTTCCCGTAGTCTCTCCCTGACTTTTTTCGGAACGCCCACTGGAAACAGCTTCCAGTCTCTGATGTGACACTTGAACGCATAGATAACCTCATTCCACGCTGGGGTATCTTTCTTCCTTCCACCATCACTTCACCCCAAAGTGGGGGGGGGTCTCTCCCACCGAGCGCTGAGCCCCTTCTTTCCTTGACCACTAAGCTTTTGGAGGAGGATGTACGCGGCGGCGGCAGCTCTTTGCGTGAGAAGTTGACTCGGAGTTCGCCAGGCTTCCCTGCCGGGAAGAGGAGGAGGAGGAGGGGAAGCTACGAAGTGGGGCAGGGCCCTGAGCCTCCACTCAGCTGGTAATTTCCTCTTCGTAAGCAGCGTGTGGGTCAGGAGAAGGCAGGGAACTGGGGAAGTGAAGTGTTGAGAGCCTTGTGGGGGGAGACACACTCTTTGTCACTCTGAATTCCCCAGGATCTTTGCCGAAGAAACGGAATTAAGATTCCCAACTCACACTCTTCGCTTCGTCTTCTGTTCGGGGCATTGTTTTCTCTACTACGGTGTCTTGCGTTTGGCTGGCTTTGCTCTTGGGTGGGAGGAAAGAGCTTGGTGGTTCAACTTTTGTTTCAAAATCTTTTCCGCTTTCTTTCTAGCTCTCTCTCTCTCTCTGTGTGTGTGTAAGTAATACTGTCAAGGCGTTTTCTTAAGAGACACTGATTTTGGATTGAATAGGGGAGAAACAAGACGCTGGATATATCAATTGAGTAAATAATCGCTAAAAAAAGAGATTTTTTTTGTCAATTTCTACGGGGCTATTTCCTCCATTTAAATGTATTTGGCTCCTGCTGAAATTCGTCTGGGTGCTGCAGGAGGCCGGTGGGGCAGCAGAAAAGGTTTGCTAAAAGCCAGTGAAAACCCTGCCCCACCCCAGGCTTCCGAGATCTCGGCACGCATTTTGTTTCTACCGAGGGTTTTTCAGGCTCGCCAGTGGAGCCTTGAAAAGCAGGTATTTGGGTTCCTGTTAAAAAAGGAGAAGGAAATTTCACAGGCTGTGGAATTCAGCTCCCCATGCTAACTTCTGTGATGCGTCTTTAAAAATGGGTGAGGAGCATTATTTAATTAGGAAGTCTCCCATCATTTTTAGATAAAAAGTTTATCTGACACCGGATATACATTTTCCAGGGTCTTTTATTTTGCGTAGGTGTTGGGGAGGGTAATTCAGGCAGCTGTCCTGAAGCCCCTATATGGAAGGGAAGGGGGGTTTGATAGAAAGTTTGACTCATTCTTTGAATTGGTTTGATGGCTCATTTTTTTCCTCATCCAAGGCAAACAAATTGCAGGAAAAGTTTAAAGTTAAAACCCAGGAGGGTTCCCCCCCCCCCAGCATTTTGGGTCCCGCTGAATTAAATAGACAAAGGAAACTAGAAGAGGAATGCGCATGTTTCATTAAAAAAAAAAAAGGCAAGGAAAAAGGGTGTAGACTTTCTCATGAACATTGTAATTTAAACAACTGATTGATTAGTCATAAGGTCAACTCTAGCATTCCTCAACTGAATGCCCTCCAGAGGTCTTGGGACCACAATTCCCAGAATCCTAAGCTGGAACGGAGCACACCAAAGTTAGCCCTAAAATGGTGCCTTCCCTTTCCAAACAGAATAGTAGTGTTTGAGAATTCAGGCAGTTGATATTTGCATTTATGGATTATACCAAAGTTTAGAGTTTGGGGGCCTTTTCCATCTTTTTTTCCCAAGATACCAGGGATTGATATACCAGGATACCAGGGTTTTCAGCCTGCAGAGGCTCTGTTCTGCCATTTGAACCATAATGTAGCAGGGAGACAGTCTACCCTGTGTGGATTAACCTAAAGAATTCTCTGTGATACATATTGGAAGGGATTATATAATGCAAATTAGATTGGGTGATGATCTTTTGTACTCCAGAGAAATGGATTTTTTCTGTGAAACTCGTAGTAAGGCCAGTGCTGGGACAAGCGCATTTTAAACGTGTAGGAATGTTTTGATATCCTCTGAGTAACTTCACCAGGTGTGCCATGCATAATTCCCAGGTTGCCAACTCAAGAGTGTCTATGCCTGAAAGAACTGCTAGCTTTGGGCTACTTAGGGTGAGGTCAGGTTGTAGTCTCAAACCCTGGGCTTCTTAGCTCAGCCTCTTACCTGCTTTTCAGGAGCTGCATGTTTTCAATTTCCTTTGGGCATGGCACTCTAAGCCTGTGTTCAAAAAAACCTCCATTCCCAATAGAACTACAAAAAAGCCTCCTTATCTTTCCTTAAGATGTGTCAAAGTGAAAGAAAAGGGACTACAGGTAATCCTCGACTTACAACCACAATTGAGCCCAAAATTTGTTTTGTTAAGTGAGTTTTGCCCCATTTTATGCTTTTTTTTTTGCCAGAGTTGTTAAGTGAATTACTGCAGTTAACCTAGTAACAAAGTTGTTAAGTGAATCTGGCTTTCCCATGACGACGACGACGACAACAACAATAATAATAATAAACGCCTTGAGTGCAATCCCAAAACAACTGGAGCACCACTTGAACACCATTGGCATTGACAAATTCGCCATTAGTCAATTGCAAAAGGCAGCCTTACTAGGAACTGCTTCCATCTTGTGACGATATCTGTAATACCATCAAACATCCACATCTGCCTATCCCAGGTCCTGGGTAAGGACTCGATAGGTAGACAAAATGCCAAATCCAGTCTGAACATCTGGCTGACTGTGCGATGATGATGATTAATAATAATAATAATAATAATAATAATAAAGTTGGAAGGGACTTTGGAGGTCATCCAGTCCAACCCCCTGCTCAGGCAGGAAACCCTATACCATTTCGGACAAATGGCTGTCCAGTCTCTTCTTAAAAACTTCCAGTGTTGTTCTGGAGGCAGGTTCTGGAGGCAGGTTGTTCCACTGGTTAATTGTTCTAACTGTCAGGAAGTTTCTCCTTAGCTTCTTGTCCTGCCTTTGCTTGCCAGAAGTTTATAAAAGATGATCACATGATCCCCGGGGCACACTGCAGCCATAATAAATACAAGTCAGTTGCCAAGTGTCTGAATTTTGATCACGTGCTGCAACCATCATAAGTGTGAAAAGCAGTCATAAGTCACTTTTTTCGGTGCTGTTGTAACTTCGAACGGTCACTAAATGAACTGTTGTAAGTCAAGGACTACCTATATGACTCCATGGCCGGGCCTTACTTGATTCTGCATTCCCAGAATCTAGTGAGCCGCTGACAAACAAAGAAGATGACTCTGAGCAAGATTCATTTGAACAAAAATTCACAGCCGATTCTCCTATAATCATAGTCCTGGGACAAAATGATACATTTAGAACAGGGGTAGTCGACCTTGGCTCTTTTATGACTCGTGGACTTCAACTCCCAGAATTCCTGAGCCAGCATGGCTCAGCTTGGAAACCTCTCCCTTTCCCCTCAGCATGGCTGGCTCAGGAATTCTGGGAGTTGAAGTCCACGAGTCATAAAAGAGCCAAGGTTGACTACCCCTGATTTAGAACATACTAGGTTCAACTCCAGTTCCTCCAATTACGGTATGTCAGACAGCCACAAAGGACTGCTGGCAGATGAAATGCAGTACAGTAAGTCCTTGACTTAATGACTGTTTGAAATTACAACAGTCCTGAATAAAGTGGATTGCAACCGATCCTCGCACTTAACGACCGTTGCAGCATTCCCACGATCATGTGATTAAAATTTGATCGCTTGGCAATCAACATGTAGTTACAATGGTTGCCACATCCCAGTAACATGTGATCACCATTTGTGACCTACCCAGCCAGCTTCCCCCTCCCCCGTCAAAGTCAGTAGAGAAAGCCAGATTTGCTTAACAACCGCATGATTCACTTTAACAATGATTCGTTTAGCAGCCATGGCCAAAAAAGGTCATAAAATCAGGCTTGACTTACTTAACAACTGCCTTGCTTAGCAGTGTAAAATTCTGATCTTAATACTAGTTGCAAGTTGATGTCTACTTGTTATAGGCTAGATCAGGGGTAGGCAACCTTGGCTCTTTTATGATTCGTGGACTTCAACTCCCAGAATTCCTGAGCCAGCCATGCTGAGGGGAAAGGGAGAGGTTTCCAAGCTGAGCCATGCTTGCTCAGGAATTCTGGGAGTTGAAGTCCACGAGTCCTAAAAGAGCCAAGGTTGCCTACTGGGCTAGATGATGCCATGACTTGACTAAGCATCATAAACCTCAATAGAAAACTTTGTGCAATTTGAGATGAGGTTGTGTAGGGCTTCTGTTTGGGGGAAGTGGACTCTAGTTCTTTAAAAGAGTTAAAATTGGGATCTCGGATGTGAATTCGGTACTTTGGGATCTCGGATGTGAATTCAATAGATTCATTGGATTTTAAGCAGGCAATCCATGGTGGGGGGGCATTAGAAAGTCTATTGTTGATCTCAAGAGATTGAAACTATGCGATAAAAATGACATTCCAGTCTGTAATAAGCCAGTTTCAAATCAGGTAGCTTGTACTTTATTTCTGCTTTTGTACCATCACTCTATTTACTAATGTGAGGGGACCAGGATATCTAAAATTCATGTAACTTCAACACCCTCTTTGTCTTTTTGGTAGGTTCCTTGACTTTCGATCACCCTGACAAAAGAATTTTACGGTTCTTCCTTCAGAACTCATGAACATCCGGAGCAGGTAGATACATCGTCTATATATTTTATATATTTGTGTGTGTGTGTGTGTATAATTATATATTTATAATTAAAGCAACAGCTACGTATGTTCCAACAGGTGAAATATTTGGCCTTCTGTATGTAGCAGGCAGCAAAATGCTGGCCTTAAAATGGTCCTGGGTGTTACTCAGGTAGGCTGTCCTTATGCTAAGTTAGCAGCTCACCTTGCAGCATTCAAAATTCATAGGAAGATACTTCCGGCATGTCAAAGAATCCCAAGTACTGCAATTGATTTCCCAGGTCCCATGCCCCTTGCTTCTGTAGAGTCCCCTTTTCCTGCACGATGAAATGCGTTGCTAAGTGAAACTGTGCTTAAAACTTAAAAGTTGTTGAGAGTGATTTGACCTATGCTAGAAATAAGAACTCTACCAGGGAGGCCCAGATTTTCTCATTGCTAAACCATAACTGACCCCACCTCTACCCCATCTGTATACTAGTTCTTAAAATAACTAATTTCTGTTAACTTTTAATATTTAACATTTGTAGTTCAGCTTTTATGATGTAAGCTGCCCACAGTCTCCTAACAGTGAGGCTGGGCAGCATATAAATGTAATTAATAAACATTTAATAAATAAAATAACTGACGCTGGAGTTATACAATTAATTATATGATTTATCATCCCATACATTGATATACTGGGTTTGGTTGGATGCTGCCTTAATTCTAAAGTGGTTTTTATGCAAACATGGTTTAAGGGTACTGGATGGGGCTGTGGCGTTAACGGCAATGTAGTACCTATCTTGGTCTTTCCCAACCCGGTGACCCATGCATGTGCTTCAGAGTATCTCCAAATCTTCATAGTTCTGGGTACTATTTAATTTTGTTTAGCATTGCATCCTGGAGGAATGGAATGGAATGGAATGAGTGGGAAGGGACCTTGGAGGTCTTCTAGTCCTGACCCTTCTTCAGGCAGGAGACCCTACATCAGTGATGGCGAACCTTTTAGAGACCGAGTGCCCAAACTGCAACCCAAAACCCATTTATTTATCGCAAAGTGCCAGGGCTGCATCAACATTGTGGTGCCCTCAGGGGGAGCGGGGGGCGTGGCCCACTGGGTGGGCATGGCTGCTGTGGTCACAGCAGACTGGGTGAGCATGGCCGGGGCCAGTCCCTCGCCATCTTCGAGGCATCCCCAGGGGGCCAACGCCACTTACTTGCTCACTTCCTGTCACTTCCAAACGCCATGTGCTCTCTACTCTGGCGAACTCTGCTGGGGCAACGGCACGTGTGCCCGCAGAGAGGGCTCTGCGTGCCGCCTCTGGCACGTGTGCCATAGGTTCGCCACCACTGCCCTATACCATTTCAGACAAATGGTTGTTCAATCTCTTCTTAAAAACATGCAGTGTTGGAGCATTCACAACTTCTGGAGGCAAGTTGTTCCACTGATTATTTAGTTCTTAGTTACTTACTTAGTTTTTAATTACTTAGTTCTTAGTTACTTATTGGTAGAAATGACATGGCAACTCTAATGCCATATACAGCTACAAATATTTGGTTTTAATTGGCTTTTATAGGGGAAATGTTGTGTGTGTTGTTTGTATTGTGTTATTTTAATATGCTGTGAGCCGCCCTGAGTCCCGTGGGGAGAAGGGCGGCATATAAATTATGAAAAATAAATAAAATAAATAAATAAATATATAATTTTCCTTGCTCTTCTTTCATCATGGCTGAGGTCTGACCATGGAAATGCTTCCAGGTGGGACTTAATCGTGGAAATGTATAAGAATATAAACTAATTTCCTAATGGTATGATTAGCTACCAGCAGTAAGTTTTCTTTGCTGCTTGAAGCCCGGCGCATTGATATCTTTACCAGTTTATAAATCTTTTCAAACCTTGAGCTCAGGTTCTCCAGTTTCTCCAGGGGCAGGGGAATTTGCCACGGCAGTGATGGCGAACCTTTTAGAGACCGAGTGCCCAAACTGCAACCCAAAACCCACTTATGTATGGTCAGGTGCCGGGTGGGTGTGGCCCATTGGGTGGGTGTGGCCAATTGGGTGGGCATCGTCCATTGGGTGGGCGTGGCTGCGGTGGTAATGGCAGACTGGGGCTAAAAAGTTCAATCAATCAATTCCAACTTTGCGAGATTTTTTTTTTTCCCTGAGAAATTGAAATTGATTGATTGATTGAACCTATTTTTTTTTTTTTTTGCACACGGTGTCGGAGGCCTAAAGCGAAAAGGTTTTATAAAACCCAGCTGAAGGCCTAGGACTGGGGCGACGGTGCGCGTGCCCACAGAGAGGGCTCTGCGTGCCACCTGTGGCACGTGTGCCAGAGGTTCGCCACCACGGTGCTAAGGCTTTCTGTTAAGTTCAAAGATGTTTGGAAACTGATTTCACAAACCATTCTCAAGATTCCGTGCAGCAGGAATAAACCTCTTTCCATGTGAAACTGCAGGAGAAGAGAACAGGATGTGCTCCCGCAGAAAGAAAGGCCAATCCCAATTTGAAGATTTCTGCTCTCTAATCCTACCCAGAAGGATTGTTCTTGCAAAAAATAAAGTAACATCATTCTAATTTCAGCTCAGTGTCAGAAGGCCAAGATGAAACTCATAGTAGTTTATGACAACATCTCAATGACAATCTAAGACGGGGGGTGTCAAACTCGCAACGTCACGTGACGTGTCGTGACGTATCACAACTTTTTTTCCATTGCCGGCAATGGGGTGGGCGCGATTTCGGCATGACGCATCTGGCCTGCGGGCCGGCAGTTTGACACCCCTGATTTAGGAGCTTCTTGACTTCAGTGTTGACTAGGTTGACAAGCATTGACTGGGGTGGGGGTGCTTGGCTAAGATTACTGGATTAAAGCACTTGTGTTCAAAATTGCTGTTTTTTTGTTGGTGTGGCTAGGAGACCAGTGCAATCTAGCCTAAATCAACTGGTGGATGTGGCAATGGCCTGTCCCTTCGGGAGTAGGGCAGTGTTCTGATTGCTTGGGTGTGTCTTCTTTAGTCTGTGGAATTCCCTGCTAATCTTGGCTCATAGGGAGATGATCTGCAGAGCAGGATGTCCGTCACCAGTCTTGATCGTCTCTGACGGTGGATCATAATAGCTGGAGTAAAGTTAGGGAGTTTAATTAGATTGGAGCAGAACTAAAAAGAAGGATGCTGTGCATCATTTGCCTAGCTGGAAGAAATTGAAATTTTAGTTATGGTCTTCTTCTTCCTCTCTGGAAAGCATAACATTATCATTGCTGGGGGGGGGGGGCAGGTGGAAAGCCAGGAATAGCCACGACTTGGAGGAGGTAGTCCTCGGCTGATGACCACAATGGAGCCCAAAATTTATGTTGCTAAGTGAAACAGTTGTTAAGTGAATGTTGTCCCACTTTACAATCTTTCATGTCACGGTTGTTAAGTCAATCACTGCAGCTGTTAAATTAGCAACATGGTTGTTAAGTGAATCTGGCTTCCCCATTGACTTTGCTTCTCAGAAGGTCGCAAAAGGTGATCACATGACCCCAGGACCCTGTGACCGTCATAAAAATGAGCCAGTTGCCAAGCGGCTGAATTTTGATCACGTCACCATACGGATGCTACAATGGTCGTAAGTGTGAAAAACAGTCATAAGTCACTATTTTCAGTGCCGTTGTAAGTTCGGTCACTAAATGGATGGTTGGGACTCCCTGTATAGTGGTAGCCTTGTTTAGATGGCTTTCATTGGGAGTAGACCACCTTTCCAGCTCTAAAGCATTTTAGACAGTATGGAGGCAAGACAAGAAGCAACCGATGGAAACTAATCAAAGAGAGAAGCAACCCAGAACTAAGGAGAAACTTCCTGACAGTGAGAACAATTAACCAGTGGAACAGCCTGCCTCCAGAAGCTGTGAACATTACCCCTTGGTGACTAAACAGAGCCTCCATGCTATTAGGCAGTGTACACCACCGCTGTAATTAGCTGCTGGAGAACAGCAGAAACAGAGAAAACTGTTAATTTCATAGACTGCTTATGGTCTTCTTAGAAACCCCCACTTTAGGAATCAGTCTGCTGGGCTAAAAAATCCCCCTGAGCTAAGCTAAACCAGTAACTATAGTTCAAATTGTGGGATCCCTGCTATTGTCTCAAAAGTATAGCGTGTGAATCAGAGCGTTGGAAAAAGCTGTTCAGGTAGTCCTTGACTTAGAGCCACAGTTAAGCCCAGAATTTTGGATGTGAGTCCTTACGGTTGCTAAGTGGGTTACCCCTCGGTTGCTAAGTGGGTTACCCCTCGAACTGACTTGATTTTACAATTGGTTTTTATGATGGTCATTAAGCAATTTACATGAGCGCTAAGCAAATACAGCATATCCAGTGGGCGGCTTTTGCCAGTTTCTGCCGAAAACCAGTAAAAACGTGTGACAAATTGTGGTCTCGTGACTGCAACCAGTCGCAAGTGCGAGCTAGTTGCCAAGTGCCCAAAATGTGAATCATATGACAGCATGGGATCTATGTACAGCAGTCATAATTTTGAGGATGGCTCGTAAATAGCATTTTTCCAAGTCCATCATAGCTACAAACAGTGATTAGGTGACTGGTCATTAAACGAGGACTGTCTGTTCTGTTGATTTTATTTATTTATGATGGGGTACATGAGTACAGAATATGAGATTTCTGAACCTGCTTTACTTTAAACCCAGATTACATGAAGTAGCCATTGTATTAGAACAGGGGTCTTCAAATTTGGCCCTTTGATGACTTGTGGACTTCGACTCCCAGTGCCTGGCTCAGGAGTTGAAATCCATAAGTCATCAAAGAGCCAAGTTTGAAGACCCCTGTATTAGAAAAACAAAGGCTGATACTAGCAAAGTTACTTTACAATGGCGTCGGACATAGGCATAGAAGAAGCCTGCGCATTATACATTCAGACAATTTCAACACACTTTGCCCCATTTTTCCATTTTGACAATGATGCCGAGGGCACATTTGCAATCCTGTTGCATCCATAATTACTGCATCTCTCAGTAGGACTGACTCACAATCATATG